CTTAAGTGTAGGTTGAGACAGGTGTGTGATTTATCGTTTCTGTATTTTTCATCATCGAAGAAAAAAAAAACCGACATAATTTACCGATATTACAAGTTGAGATCAGGAAGTGCATGACTTATGGTTAATGCGTTGAAACAAATGAAAAGGTTATGAATGTTAACGATCGTCATGCATAGAACTCCCCCAGAACCCCCAGAGAGTCACTCAGTTCTACCCCAGAGAACCCCCAAAGTGTCACCCAGCTCTCCCCCAGAACCCCCAAATCGTCTCCCCAGCTCTCCCCAGAACCCCTAAAGTGTCACCCAGCTCTCCCCCAGAACCCCTAAAGTGTCACCCAGCTCTCCCCCAGAACCCCCAGAGTGTCACCCAGCTCCTCCCCAGAACCCCCAGAGTGACGGCAGGTCTTACCGTGTTGACACCACAAACACTCCGTCACCTGAATTAACTCCTTCGTCAGGTAGGTCGTGTGAGAGGGCCGAGTCACCGCCTGCATCTTGATAGTGAATGTGTAATGTTACCGGCAGTCTGTCAAATCAGTCAGTCTTTACAATCAGGTAATCTGTCAAATCAGTCAGTCTTTAAAATCAGGTAATCTGTCAAATCAGTCTGTCTGTAAAATAAGGTAATCTGTCAAATCAGTCAGCCTTTAAAATCAGGTAATCTGTCAAATCAGTCAGCCTTTAAAATCAGGTAATCTGTCAAATCAGTCAGCCTTTAAAATCAGGTAATCTGTCAAATCAGTCAGCCTTTAAAATCAGGTAATCTGTCAAATCAGTCAGTTTGTTAAATACCCGTGAAAATTGTTCCTTTCATGTTCGTTGTGTAAGTTGGGTCAGGTCAGGTCAGGTCAGGTTTGGTTTCATTACTCTTCACACTGAACTTCACTTTACCTGTACACAACACGTTCTACCTGAAACAGAACATTTTCACTACGACAAAATGCCAGATTTGACAGATTACCTGGAACATACTGTATAGTTAGGGTTAGATTAAATGTATAACCAGATGATGTAGCCCCGTCTCGCCTCGCCCCTGCCCTGCCCCTGCCCCGGCCCTGCCCCGGCCCTGCCCCACCCCACCCTGCACCCCACCCCCACCCCACCCCCACTCTGCACCCCGCCCCGTCCCGTCCCGTCATTATTAACAGACACGTAACATATCTTACACCAGGTGAGAGGAGAGTCATTAACCTGGAACACATTATACAGGTGGGTCCATTGTCGTGGTTTTGTCCTTAGTGTTATGTTATTTTGATAGGATTTAACATTATATTAATTTACCTGTCTGATATGTTCATTCATTTTACTTATTATTATTTGTATTATTATTTTTTGTTTGTTTTTTATTTTTTTATTTTATTTATTTTTTGCATTTTAGTCACATATTTAAGAATTGAATAAAAAAATGCATGAGGCAATAATTTAGCTCAGAGATAAATGCTGAGGTTTCCATTATGCACAAAATAGGAATTTTTTCACCTGTGTGTAATTAATTAGAAGAATTTAATTATTGTTCTGTTGGTATTTTTTGTATTTAGTTATTTAATTGAGTATTATTATATTGTAGTTTTTGTATTTATTAATTAGTTTTTTTTTCTGGTGTTTTTGTATACCTCGCCATGATAATAGTGTGTGTGTGTGTGTGTGTGTGTTTGTGTGTGTGTGTGTGTGTGTGTGTGTGTGTGTGTGTGTGTGTGCTTCTCATACAAAACACACACACAGACATCAACTACCATTAAGTCCAAATTTGTATGATAAGTAAATACATAATGTGTCTTACAGATTAACTAAGTCCAAATATATATATCAATTTGAACTAGTATGAGCTAAAATGGCCATTAATGCACTAAGGACAAATGCCAGTCAGATTAGTTGAGTCACTTTTACTGGCGGGTTAGTTGATATGACTGACCAATAATTGTATATCATTCACCTTTATTTATTAATCATTTAAGACACACCTAAATAGCTCCTAAAAAAACTCCATCTTAAGAAATATTTGATAATAGAGGAAATAATTATTGATTTAAAAGGCCAGGTGACGTCAGATTGATGGTTGTCATGGAAACAGGACTTGTAAGAAGGTGTTGTGATTAGATGTATGATAATAATTGTTCTTTTTCTGTCACTTGTAACATTGCGTAGTGGCGTATACTGTAAGTATTTTGTGAAATTCTTAAATGTTTTCTATTTGGAGATATAACGAAGGAAGGGCGCTTATAACGAAGGAAGGGCGCTTATGACGAAAGAAGGGCGCTAATGACGAAAGAAGGGCGCTTATGACGAAAGAAGGGCGCATATAACGCTTATGACTATGAAAGGGCGCTTATAACGATGGAGGGACGCTTATAATGATGTAAGGGCGCTTATAATGTGGGCGCTTATAACGATGGAGGCGCTTATAATGATGTAAGGGCGCATAATGATGTAAGGGCGCTTTAGCGATGGAGGGACGCTTATAATGATGTAGGGCGCATAATGATGTAAGGGCGCTTATACGTGTAACGGCGCTTATAATGATGTAAGGGCTTATAGCGATGGAGGACGCTTATAATGATGTAAGGGCGTATAATGATGTAAGGGCGCTTATAATGATGCAGGGCGCTTTTAGCGATGGAGGACGCTTATAATGATGTGGGGCGCTTATAATGATGTAAGGGCGCTTATAATGATGTAGGGCGCTTATAGCGATGGAGGACGCTTATAATTATGTAAGGGGCTTATAGCGATGGAGGGACGCCTATAACGATGAAGGACGCTTATAACGATGGGAGGACGCTTATAATGATGTAAGGGCGCTTATAATGATGTAGGCGCTTATAACGATGGAGGGACGCTTATAATTATGTAAGGGGGCTTATAGCGATGGAGGACGCTTATAACGATGGAGGACGCTTATAACGATGGAGGACATCTATAACGATGGTCGCTTATAGCTATGGAGGGACGCCCTATAATGATTGAGGGACGCCTATAACGATGGAGAGGGACCCTTATAACGATGGAGGGACGCTTATAATGGAGAGGACGCCTATAACGATGGAGGGACCCTTATAACGATGGAGGGACGCTTATAACGATGGAGGACGCTTATAACGATGGAGGGACATCGAGTGGGGTCGCTTATAGCTATGGAGGACGCCTATAACGATTGAGGGACGCTTATAACGATGGAGGGGCGCATAACGTGGAGGACCCTTATAACGATGGAGGGACGCTTATAACGATGGAGGGACGCTTATAACGATGAGGACGCTTATAACGATGGAGGACGCCTATAACGATGGGACCCTTATAATGATGAGGGACGCTTATAACGATGGAGGGACCCTTATAATGATGGAGGACGTTTATAACGATGGAGGGACGCTTATAACGATGGAGGACGCCTATAACGATGGAGGACGCCTATAACGATGGAGGGACGCCTATAACGATGGAGGGCCCTTATAGCGATGAAGGACGCCTATAACGATGGAGGGACCCTATAATGACGGAGGACGCTTTCGTGAATAACGATGGAGGACGCCTATAACGATGGAGAGGCCCTTATAGCGATGGAGGGTCGCCTATAACGATGGAGGGACTCTTATAACGATGGAGGGACGCTTATAACGATGGAGGGACGCTTATAGCGATGGAGGGACCTATATACTGATGCAGATACTTTATAAAATAATCAGGTATCACAAAAAGCAATCTGGTACTTTAAAAGACAATCAGGTACTTCAGAAGGCAACCAGGAAAATAATCAGGTGTCATAGAAAATAATCAGGTACTTTACAAGACAATCATGTCCCATACAGGTGATAAACAACCAGGTAAAACACAAGACCCCGCAGGTACGTAAATATGTGTACAGGAGTGACGGAACAAAGCAGGTGTCCAGCTAAGCGTGGTGGACTGACCAAGTGCAGGAGCGAGCGAGCACTGGCTACTGGTGGTGGTGGTGGCTGCCAGAGCAAAGAGGACCTAGCCTAGTGGGGTGGGTCTGGGAGGCGTGGCAGCAAGTAGAGGTAGCAACCGCGGCAGGGAAAGAGATAGTGTGTGTGTGTGTGTGTTTGTGTTTTGTCGTGTGTGTGTCGTGTGTGTATGTGTGTGTGTGTTTCGTCTGTTCCCAGTGTTACCCTCACCCGGTTCACACCCGAATATGATTGCACTGTTAACTTAGCTTCTAACCTAACCTAACTTGAGACTAGTTCCTGACGCCGCTACTAACCTAACCTAGTTCTTGGTGCCGCTCATATCCTAACCAATCTAACCTAACTCTAACCAAATCTAACCTAATCTACAGGTAATCCCAAGGTGAATTAAACTGGGCTTAATCTTCAGGTGATCAGGTGAATCTATTCATAAAAACGTGGTCTTAAATATTATATAAAGTTGAAATCAAATTGTTTAAATGTTTTTCTTCACACACACACACACACACACACACACACACACACACACACACACACACACACACACACAGAACACCATCACAGAAAGCACTATATTGTTAACACGATAAGCCCCGTAATGAGAACACGGTAATCTGTCTTTACACCATCAGAACACCATCAGAAGAACATAGAACACCATCAGAAGAACACAGAACACCATCAGAACATATATATATATCACCGCCACGACAATACACGATTAACCATGACACTATACTTTCCATCGTTAATAAAAACCACGTAGTTAACCATAGGTATATCAACACACTGTACTTACACCATCTACATTAAACACCACAATATATTTCACCATTATAGATACAAAAACATCTCAATTAAATCATCACATTACGAAAAGCACATTGCCATTAAAAAAAAAATAATTCTTCACTGGGATTATTTTCATCACAAATTCGTATACCTTAAGCAGACACGTGGTTGGAGTCAGGCAGGAATTGCATGTGCGACCAGCTGATGATACGAGTGAGAGAGAGAGAGACTGGAAGAGAGAGAAGAGACGGAAAGAGAAAGAAAGAAAGTAGTATTTGTTTACCTGATCGTGGTGTGGTGAGGGAAGTGTCGACGAGAGGTTGAACACGAACACAACACGCTACACACACACTCACACACACACACACACACGCCGAGGATGGCAGGAGACGAGCTAGCTGTGTGGACCAGCGTCGACGGCTGTATTTGGGTGACTGGGTCCTTCTCCTCCTCCGGTATGGCTCTCACCCACACCACCACCATCACCGCTACCTCCGCCACCACCACTACCCATCCTCCTCCCTCCTCTCACCTCATCCTCCTCCTCCCACCACCGCCGCCCCATCCAACCTCTGCCCTACCTGGTTCGCCACGCCCTCCGCAACCCTCCCCTCCTCTCCCTCCTTCCCCTCTCCCTTCTCCTTACCTCCCCCTTTTTTCCACTATTACTACTACTACTACTACTACTCCATTCCATTAAGGCATCTCTCTCTCCCCCCCCTCTCTCTCTCTTCATTTCCTTCCTCCTCTCCTCCCTCATAACAAATACAAAAAAATAAATAAAAGTAAAAATAACCTTAAAAATTAATAAATAAAAGGCAAAGGCGAAGACAGTAAATAATAAACATAGAGAAAGTAAGAAAATGAATAGGAGAGGAAGAAAATAATTAAAAAAAGGTTAAAGAGAGAGGAGAGAGAGAGGAGAGGAGAGAGAGAGAGAGTGAGTTTGGTAGGTGAAAATGATTAATGAATTGTAAGGTGTGTGTGGTGGTGGTGTGTGTGTGTGTTGAAACTATGGTCGGGTTAGAGAAAGAGGAAGGAAGGAATGGAAGAAATGGTGAGAGAGGAGGGTAGAGGGAAGAAGTTAGGTGGAGAAAGGGAGGAGGGAGGGAGGGAAGGAAGGAAGGAAGAGAGGAAGGAAGGAAGGAAGAGAGGAAGGAAGGAGGGAGGGGAGGGGGAGGGGAAGGGAGGAAGTAGGAAGGAGGAAGGAAGGGAGGGAGGGAGGAGGAAGGGAGGGAGGGAGAAGGGAGGAGGGAGGAAGGAAGGAGAAGGAAGGGGGAGGAGGAAGGAAGGAAGGAAGGAAGGAAGGGTACCAGATAGTTTAAGCAATGATGGAATTAGGTCATCTAGCCTTACTGAGATTAGCTCAGTTATGTAATCGTCCGGAAAGGCGAGTAACAACACTCAGCAACGGGGAACACATTGCAATCTTAACGCAACGGGGAACACATTGCAATCTTTAACGCAACGGGGAACACATTGCAATCTTTACTATGCAACGGGGGAACACATTGCAACTTCAACTACGCAACGGGGAACACATTGCACCTTACTACAACGGGGAAACATTGCAATCTTCTACTACGCAACGGGGAACAAATTGCAATCTCAACTACGCAACGGGGAACACATTGCAATCTCTACTATGCAACGGGGAACACATTGCAATCTTCAACTACGCAACGGGGAACATTGCAATCTATACTACGCAACGGGGAACACATTGCAATCTCTACTATGCAACGGGGAACAAATGCAATCTCTACTACGCAACGGGGAACACATTGCAATCTTTACTACGCAACGGGAAAAAAATCCAGAATAAAGGACATTATTTATACTAATTTTCGCTTTGTTGGGGAAAAATAATACAAACAGCGATGTACTATTAGGGAAACCTTTTTGCGGGGAAACTACCAAAATTTTTAATGTTTCTTTTTTGTGTGTATATACGATGTTTGGTTTTACATCCGACAGTTAAGAATTTTATTACCGGGGGAGAAGTACACTGTGTTTGTTTAGACATATGACTGAGACGGTTTTGGATAGGCCTATGTTTGTCTGTGGTGTGTTTAGTTATATCACATAAGGTATTGTTGAGGTCACATTCACACTTTGGGGGTCACTCTGTATGGGTCTTACTGTATGGGGGTCACTCTGTAGTCTCACTGTATGGGGGGTCACTTGATGGGTCTTACTGTATGGGGGTCACTCCATGGGGTCTACCAGGGGGCTCTGTATGGGGGTCACTCTGTATGGGTCTACTGTATAAATACTTGCATAGGGGGTCTACTGTATGGGGGGTCACTGTATGGGGGTCTTACTGTACAATACTCTGTATGGGGTCTTACTGTATGGGGGTCTTACTGTATACTCTGTATGGGGGTCTTATTGTATGGGGTCACTCTGTATGGGGGTCACCTGTATGGGGGCCTTGTATGTCCACTTACTGTATGGGGGTCTTATTGCATGGGGGTCACCTGTATGGGGGTCACTCTGTATGGGGGTCACTGTATGGGGGTCTTACTTGTATTAGGGGGTCTCACTGTATGGGGGTCACTCTAGGGTCCACTGTGTTGGGGTCATATTGTATGGGTCCACTGTATATGTGGGGGCTCTGTATGGGTCTTACTGTATGGGGGTCACTCTGTATGGGGTCTTCCTATGGGGTCACACCATGCCCACAGCGGGGTAGATGAGATGCTTACATGACAGTCTGTAATCCTCTTATCAGCTCACCACGATACTTGCGGAGGATGGAGTCATTGTTGAGTATTTCTGCCATGTTGTGCAATACTTGATGTACCTAACCCCCTCTCCCCTTCCCCCTTCCTCTTTCCCCCTTCCTCTTCCCCCTCTCTTGTGTTAGAACCCCAGGGTGAGAGGTTGGGGAGAAGGGGGAGGGAGAAGGGGGAGGGAGAGGGAACGTTTGAACTCCTCACTTCACTACATATCTCAGTGACGTTAACTCTTGATATTTACTTAAGCTTACTCTAAAGTTTTTTTTTTTCCCTTCAGTAATTAAAGCTTTCAGTATTTTTTTCCCCCTTCAGTAATTAAAACTTCCAGAAAGTATGTTAATTTTTTTTCCAACATTAAATATTTCAAGATAATTTAACTATCAATAAATGTAAAGTTATCTCACTGAATATAAATAATGTGTTAAAAAATTCTTTCTTGATAGATGAACATTAACTGGTTAAGGTGGCTAGAGGGGCCAGGGGTAAATGCATTTATATACCCAGATTAATCATTTCCACCTGAGAATGAAAAAAAAAACTAACAAAGGGAAATAGAAAGAAAAGGAGGAAAATAAAAATGTCATGATTAATGTTCCCGTTCTTGTCTGGCTGCCTGAACAGTGGAATTCGATTAACAGAAACGTCAGTGTTAAGCCAAGTTTGGTTTCTCTCTCTCTCTCTCTCTCTCTCTCTCTCTTCTTTGAGTAGTGGAGGAGAGGGGAAGTAGAGGGAGGGAGGAAGGGGGTGGTCTGCTGCTAGCCTGATTTTGCTGTTGCCATTAAAACTTTCACAGCAGCAGCACTTAACGTGGATGCCATCACATACATTATATTAGTGGTGGTGGTGGTAGTGGTCATTTAGCTGACGTCTCGTGCATGATGACTAGGCGGTAGAAGTTGTCTTACTGAATGGAACTTTTTTTGAAGAGAGAGAGAGAGAGAGAGAGAGAGAGAGAGAGAGAGAGAGAGACTCACTTGTTTTTCAAATAAAGCTAACCGAGTTCTGCATGTTTGCGCTATGTATGTATGATGTTATGAGTTAGTATTTATGTACTGTATAATGGCGTATGTACTCGGGGGAGATGAAATAACAGGTGCTAGAGACAGAAGAGAGTCGTTTCAAAACAGAGGTTGTGAAGAAAGAAGCCCTCACTCCCCCTTCCTCCCTCCCTCTCCTCCCTCCTCTCCCTCTCTTAACTGATAGGGGAGGGAACAGTAAGGTGACATCCATTAACAAAATGTAATTCGCGTAGGTATTAATATCACTGATTAAGTTAGGTTAGATTAGGACAGGACCTAACCTAACAAAACATAAGCTGATCTAACCTAGTATTAACTAACCTAACCAAACCAAACCTAACCTACCTTAACCAACATAACCTAACCAAACCTAACCTAACCAAACCAAATCTAACCTAACCTAGTATTAACTAACCTAACCAAACCAAACCTAACCTACCTTAACCAACATAACCTAACCAAACCTAACCAAACCAAACCAAATCTAACCTAACCTAGTATTAACTAACCTAACCAAACCAAACCTAACCTTACCTTAACCATAACCTAACCTAACCAAACCAAACCTAACCTGAATTAACAAACATAACCCAACCAAACCTAACCTAACCAAACCCAACCCAACCAAACCTAACCTACCTTAACCAACATAACCTAACCAAACCTAACCTAACCAAACCAAACCTAACCTACCTTAACCAACATAACCTAACCTAACCTAACCAAACCAAACCTAACCTACCTTAACCAACATAACCTAACCAAACCTAACCTACCTTAACCAACATAACCTAACCTAACCTAACCAAACCTAACCTACCTTAACCAACCTAACCTAACCAAACCTGACCTACCTTACCCTACCTAACCTGTGGTCCTGGTGTTGAAGGTCACCGGGGGTTAAAAAGTGCCCAGACCCGGGATCGAACCGGGGACCTTTAGATCTTCAGTCTAACGCTCTCCCAACTGAGCTATCTAGGCGATGTGAAGAGTTATTACAAGGTTGTCACTTAAGGCGACCAAACCCTCCGTTGTGCCTCTGTAGCCTAACCTAACCCCAACCAGGAGGTCAGATTAAAGAGGAATAAATGAGGTCAGGTCTGTTAGGGTCAAAGAGGTCATGAAATATTTTAATTGTATAACTTATAGTTTTTTCTCCAATTCGTTTATATGTTGGGAATTTTTTCTCCTTACCAGATTTTCTTCCCTAAAGGCTTTTTTTTTTCCAACGTGACTTTTTGCCCGATTTTTTCCCTGTGATTTTCCCTTCATTCAGCTTCGTTTCACCAAAGAGGTTATTTTCCCCCTGAGTTTTTTTTTCTGTATTTGTTTAATTAACTTATGTGTTTATTTGTTTTCCTCGTTGAATGTTTTTGTTTTTAATGTGGTTTTATGTATTTGTTTATTTATTTAATGGCTTGATTATTTCATTGTTTGTTTGCTTTTTGTTTATTAGTTTATATATTTGTTTATGTATTTGTTTAATTAATTGCTTATTTATTAATTTTGTTTATTTGCTTATTTATTTATTTATTTATTTATTTATTTATTCATTTATTCATTTATTCCTTTGCTCTTCCAGATTATTTATTTATAGTGATTGATTTATAAGTTAATTATTCCTTTATTTACATATTTGATAATTTATTCATTTATTTATTCATATACCAATTGACCCCCTCACTCATCTACCTGTCATATCTCCTGAACTAGATATG